AATACAATCATCTAACTCTAAAAATAATCATCATTAATGTGTTAATTATCAAATACTACATATAATATTTAAACATACCTGTAATTTTTTTTTTCATTGAAACAAATTTAAACATACTTGTATAATTTCAAAATGTTCCGTATATATTTCCCCTAGGAAAATACGTATAACAACCAAGATGATGAAGCCAATTAAAGTCGAAGTCAAAGTCTACGAACATAGGAAAAAGGCTCAATTTGAAAATTCATACAATTCTTTTTAGCCATTTGTAATTTGTAATATCCTTGTGACTCATTTGGACCAAAAAATTAAAAATAAAACATACATGAAAGAAATGTTACCTATAACGGGGATCACGGGGGGCGATGATGAAGCGACGGAGGGCGATGCCTCGGTTGCTTTGAGCACCCAAAGAGGGCAAGATGCCATTGGTGAGACTAAACTGAGTGGTTGTACCACCAGTTGAAGATCGGTCTCCCTCGTTCAAATTTTTCCCACACACTGAACTCTTTACCCAACTATTCATCGTTTTTAAAACAAAAATAAAAATACAATTATTTCCCTCCTTTTTTTTGCCACATCTTTTATCACAAACTACAATTTCATTTTCTTTATATTGGTATCTTTTTATGTGAACTTGAAAGAGACTAAAAAGAATTTTTGAAATAGTCAACTTGTATAGTTGTACACTTGTACTTCATTATTTAGAAAGATTAAAAAGATGCCTTAACATTATTTTATTTTATTTTTTTTTATAAAAAAAATCTCTATGTAATGTTGATTTTGATGGGTTATAGTTGACTTAATTTGATCTGTTAAATATTTACTAAACTCTTTTGGGGACGGCTTATTTCGTGTCAATTACGTGTATGTAATTAGGATGAATGATCTAAGAGTTAGTAAGTGTTCCATACAAAGTGTAGAAGTTTAATTTATAATCTTATACTTGAATACTTAACTAAGTAATGTATGTTTGTGTGAAATGAAAATTATATATGAAAATTATATAGTAGTCGTTTGAAGTATGAATACCATAATGTTTTAATGAATATGCAGTCAATTTAATTGACTTATTTTTCTCAAATTATAAAGTATATTTCTTTATTTTTGGTATAAAATAGTATCATCAACAATTTTTATTTATCTAATTTTTAGTTTCATTTATATAATTTTGTCCATATTTTATAATTTTTAAAATATAATTTATTTTGTGTTAGATTAAAATTTTAAAAAATTATATTTGCATTGTATATATAATGTGTTCATATTATATTGTAAAAAAAGAGACCTATTATGATAGTCATATGTTAAAAGACCAACTCAACCAAAAGCTTAATCTGATGGTTGAGGCCCAAGACTATGTTTTATACTCTATTGGTATCAGAGCTAGGTTTAAATGGTTGAGACCCATGAATATGTTTTATTTATTTGTTCTCTGTTATAACCTCTATTGGTAGTAGACGTAATAGTAGAAAACAGATTAATGAATTCCTTCTTATATATTTTTCTCTGGTTTGGTTGGTTATTTGAAGCTTTAATTGCTAAAAGTTGATGTATTAGCTAGATGTCGGTGGTATCAGAACCAAGTTGGGTTGTGTTGTGATCTGAGCTAGTATTATGGACAACTCACATGTGGGGGGGGAGGGGGGAGTGTTGAGCCTATGAAAAAAACCACATGTGAGTGAAAGTATTGTCCCACATTGAAAGAATATAAAAGTGAAGAAAAATATTGGGATGTGTATCCCACATTGAAGAAAAGAGAAAGTCGTGTCCACTTTATAAGGCTAAGGGGCTACTCCTCTAATTGTCATATGGTTTTGAGGTGGAACCTCCTTGGTCGTATAAAGTGGACAGTTGTAATGGGTGTGGCCCAGACCTGTTTATCATCATATCATATTTCAAATACACGAGACTTGATTCTATATACACCAGCACTTAATTAAAAAAAAAAGTATTGAATCCTTAGTTTAAACCAGTTTCGGGACTTATGCTTGAATACTTAACTAGGGACTCCTACCCTCTTTCAATCTTACTCCATAAATTTTTTTCCCAATTATCATTACCGCCATTTATTTTCAAGCGTTATCTTGTGTAGTTAGACAACTTAGACGGATTGGTTATGATAAAGTAAAGAACAGGTAATTTAAATTATAGAAAGAGAATTAGAAATACAATACTAGTAAGGACGGGCTTCTTGTTTAGAATAGACATAAAGTTCATAAGAAACTTGCTAATATATTTTGTATTAATGTATGAATGTGCGTATGAGAGTATTACAATGCTTTGTAAATTAGCTATTTATACCTAAGGATTTCTAGTTTATGGGAAAATACAAGTTAATCTGCCACATAAACGAATTTTTGTTAATCTGATGACATTTTTGTAAATATATCGAAAAAGTAGGGTCATTTATTCAGTATTTTTGGTGAGCTGTTCAATTACTGTTTGCTTTATGCTTTTACTATTTGGTGAGGAAATTACACATGTACCCCTCAACTAGTATATGAAAAGACGCATATACCCCTCCACTGCTATTTGAAAAGAAAATTATACCCCCAAATAAACAAAAATTTATTTATCTGGAAAATTGACGGGGTATCCCTCCTAGTTTACATGGATATTGGAATAATACTGGTTGACTTTGGCTTGCTTTCTTAAATTCTTTGAGTGTGCCCTACAACTTCTAGGCTTCTTAGCAGTCTGGGCCCAACACTGACTAACCTGTAAAAATTACTTCCTCTGTTACACATTATGTGCAACAAATTAAAGAGGTGTGCACATTTCCCAAGACAAAAAATTAAAAGGCATGATTAACAAAGTGGGGGCATGTAATTAGAGTAAAGTGGATGGCTATTTAATTCATCCCACAAACCACCCATCAGGCCACTAAACCGCCCACACCACCACCCAGCAAGCCACCTGACGCCCACCCCACCGAATAAAACCACCTTAGCCACCACCAAGATCCCAACATCCGCCCCGGTCACCTCGTAAACCACCAAGAAATCACCCATAACCAAATAAACACATCCAAAGAACCTCACCCATCATCTCGAAATCGTCGTACCCGCCTCGAAATACCCACCTTCCCTCCTCGAAGGTGGTGGTTGAACTTGAGGGGAGATGAACAAAAAGAGGGGAGATCGGTGCGGTGGTAGTGGTAGTGGTGGTGGCGGTTGAGTGGTGATAGTGGACTGGTGGTGGTGGTGGTGATGTTAGCCACTGAAGGTGATGGTTGAAGAAGATGGTTGAACGAAGGAGGTGCTGAGAAATAAGTGAGAATAAAACTACAGGGGGTTGATTGGTTGAATATGATTAGTTTAGGGATGAATTAGGTAAAAATCATTAGATTAATTTGAGTTATTAATAACTTAATAATATTTGCTTTAATGTATACCCTAATAGTCTAAAATAGCCGCCTCCCTCTTCTCTCTTTTCTCTCTTCTCTCTCCTCTCTTTAGGGTTTCAATTTTCTTGGCCGTTTAGGCCGGAAATAGTCTAGCTAATTTCTTCGGAAATTAGACTATTTCCGACCCTTTTCTTCAATTTAATTTGCTTTTTTGTTATTTGATTTGTTTTGCTTTGATTTGTTCTCTCTGTTTGTGAGAGTATGTCCCAATTTTTTTGGGTTTTTTCTAATTTTTTGGGATTTTGATTCTCATCTATGGATGAGAATTTTATTTTTAGGGTTTTAATAATAATTGAGAAGGTGATTTGGATTCATATGGGTTTAGGGTTCGTCATTAACTCTACGATCAAAACATCAGCGCAGATTGCGAAGGTCTCTACTTGGAAAGATGCAAAGACATCGAAAATCACTACTCGCGTCAAGTTTGAAGCGGTGGAGTGTGAGTTATGCCCGATATGCAAAATAGTTATGATTTTGATTGTAAAAGTTATGTTATTTTCTCTAGATTTGTGGTTTACAAATCTTTATTATTGTTGTAGATGTCGTATGGCTATTTATTAATGATAATATTCTTCTTCTTGTAAAAAAAAAATAAAATATTTGCTTTAATGTGTTAATTGAATTTTAGTAAGGGCATGTGGGTAATTTTATTTTAAAAAGTTTACTAAAATAGAAAAGTTTCAGTTTGTTGCACATAATGTATAACTTCCGTTTTTAGAAAATGTTGCACATAATACGTAACGGAGGAAGTATTTCGATACTAATATTAGAGTACTCCGTATAAATAAAACGTTGTAAATTTCTTACTCCGTACTATGAATTAGCTAGTATGGTCAACATTTAACCAAAGATAGGGGTGGACAAAGTAATTTCTCGGTCATTGTCTCTGCTTGTGTTTATGGGGCAGCGACCCCAAACTAAGAATGAGTTAATGATGGCTATATTAGTACTGTACTATTTAGTATGATTAAGTCATAAATATGGCCTCCCAGATTGAGGAGGGCCAAATTAGACTGTTATGGACTATGGATATATTTGAAATATAGAATTGTATGATAAACAATTGGTCAAAGTTAGCAATTTAGCAGAAATCCAAACAATTGTTTGGTGCAATGCTGTGATCAATGCTTGCAAGTTCTCCCAGTATACCAGATTGTGTTTTAATTTTGAGACATTGTTAGATTCGTCTTAATGTGTGATGTATATCAAAGTACAATATTACGTCAAATCTAGCTTTGAGATGCAACTGGATATGTGGTAGTCCGGTAGAGGTAAAAGTCACCATTACTAAGTACTTACTATCAAGTATATTGTTTTCTTCACGTAGAGGCAAATTATAGTTGATCACTATATCTAATTAGCTCGGTCTCAATGACATCAGCTCTGTCTAAAGTACGAGTAATAAATTTTAATTTGATCACAATGGAATGGACAAAAAGAAACAAAAATATTATCATTATATTTTGACATTTAAATTATTACATCTCTAAATAATAATAATAATAATAATAATAATAATAATAATAATAATAATAATAATAATAATAATAATAATATAAAATAAATAAATAAATAAATAAATAAATAAATAAAAAAAAAAACTACTTTCCTAAAGCTAAGTCCACAACTTTATCTAACATCTAGTAAAATTTTGACTATACAAAATGCCATTTTACATGAAAAGCTCTTCCGAAACTTGCCATTAAAACACTTGGTAACATACTTGTACATACATTATAGACGAGTAATCACAAATTGTTTATTTGTGTAATCTTATAACCTCATGATTAATTTTACATTCCCTAGTAATTTTTTCAATATACAAGAAGTATGGATCATTTAGAGATTGAATCGCGGTAACAAGGCAAACTTACCCAATTTAAATTGGACCACCAATCCCTATATTGGTGATAATATACACTAATCCTACAAAACTTGTACCAAATAATATTGGTGATAAACATTATCATTGCTAGCTTTCGGGCATATTGATTTCTTCACATACGAGGCAAAGTTGATCACCATCTCTAATTAGCTCAATCTCGTCGATTTCAGCTCCGTCTAAAGTTGTTACTTTAGTACAATGCCGTCCAAATTTTTTGATACCAAAATCAAGAAGTTCTTGGATGGTCTCAGGCAAAATAACAAGCTTGGTTGCATCGCCCGTTCCAGGGCACCGGAGTATCACTCTAGCCGGTTGGCTTCCAGAGAACGGGGTGCTTAAGTAATTACCCCCATCATTTTGTGATTCAACTGAAAATACAAAGCATTTCACAAAAATTTACACATCATGCACAATTCTCGTCTTATATAAAAATGTACTTATTTCTGGACTTTAACTAAAAGCTTACTCGGACTGTTTTTATATTACCTCTAGAGGCAGCAGACATGAACCCAAACAGGGAATTCCGAAACGAGTTAACCCTACGACGAGGCTGCTTGTCAGCCCAAGTCACTTCTCGTGTACGTGGAGTGACATCCATAGACAAATCAGTACTATTAATCTTCTTCAAAGTAGGACTTGCTTCCTTCTCAGATCCCTTAACATTAGATTGTACACTACTCTCTTCTTTGGAACAAACTACCGCCTTTATATCTTCATTCTTAGCATCATTAGCCAAATCCCTTGGCGTCGTACCTTGAATGTCCTGCCTGTCCATATCCGCCCCGTGTTTTAAAAGAAACTTAACCATTGTAGAGTTTCCATTATGAACCGCGGCATGAAGTGCAGTGCAACCATTGCTCAAAGGCAAGGTTACGTCTCCACCATATCGAACAACATCCTTTAGTAGCTCAAAATTGTCTTGCTCTACTGCATAGTAGGCATATTGAGCCGTATCGCCTGATGCTAGTGTAGCACCCTGGTCTACTAGAAGCTTGATCAAGGCCTCTTGCCTCCCTACTATTGCATCCCATAGTGGAACATTCCCTTCTCTATCTGTGTAGCGAAAACTATGTAAATGGCATGGCTTTTATAATTAAGCATAATCTACACAGAAAAACATCTTAGGACTCGAAACACAAACAAAAAAAAAAAAAAAAAAAATTTGGTAAACCCAGAAATGTTGATTTATTTACGAAAATATCATACTAACTGAGATTTTTTGATAATTTATTTACAAAAATGTCACTAGATAACCGATTTTTGTTTATCATGATAGTAAACTGGGGCTTCCTCCACTGAATATGTACGTCTAACAGGTTGTTAACGTACCTTTAAGGTTTGGATCGGCCCCATATGCAAGAAGGACAAGGGCACAATTTTCGCTTCCATTAGCAGCTGCAGTGTGCTGGTCATATGCATAACCAGAAAAGAGGCAACATTCAGAGTCAGTTAAGTAACAACATGATATGTATTTCGTAAAATGCAGACTTGGAGATGAGTAAATTCTACATACCAGAGCAGTACGCCCATTAGTATCTGGCTCATTTGGATCAGACCCTCGTCTCAGCAAATGTTGCAACAACGGTTCATCTCCTCTTGCAGCTGCAAAAGATAAACTGAGTGGCAAATCCATTCGGCCTTGAGCTAGCATGTTCTCTATATCTCTGAGAACAGATTGCATCAGGGGATCTTCCTGCGCTTTTAAATGCTGCACCAGCCATCGAATAGGAATGTCAAAGATCAGTAACTATAATATGTTTTCATTTATACTATTAATCAACCACTGAATTGAAAGCAGCTAAATATAAGTGCAAGCATACAAACCGCTAGAAGATTGTTCATGATAATTGCCCCATCCCCAACATTAGCCTGAACAAGATTCAGAAGAGCAGTACGATTCAGACGCAACAGCTGACACAATCTCTTGGTACGAACAGTAAAGAGCTGTGGCCTATAACAAAGAACACCTATCTCCCCGCATACACCTCCTGAGAAAACCTCGTGACCAACAGACTGCAAGATATATCTTCTATCAGAAAAGTAGCCCTATCAGCTCGAAAAAAAAATTACAAAAAGAAAGGTCTAAAGACATGCCTGGTGAATTCCATTTTTTTCGACGATAGATTCCTGCAAGGGTTGCTTAAATCAGAGGCCAGAGATATGATAAAACTAGTAATAGGCATAACAGGATTGTAAAATATTAGATTAAAAACATTAGTATCACTCCAATAGTGATTGTGTTCAAAAGTACTGAGATGATGAATTCGTCTGTTTAATTATATGCATAGGTTCGGAGAGAAACTTTACTCACCATGGCACCAGAGACAAGTACATATAGATCAGTAGGTGCTTCATTCTGCAAGATCACGTCTTCTTTGGGAGGGTAGTACTCGGCTTTCATCTCTGAAACCTTAAATAGATTAAATAAAATCATCATTCAAGCAAATGTATTTAAGAAATAAGCACAAGATTGAGATTTATACGCTTTACTCGAATAAAAAGCACATAGTTTACAGTCAAAACATTCCAGTAAACTTTCAATTATAGTTTTGATTAAATCGGAGACATACCAGCTGGAAAAGCAAGTCATCTGATACTCCGCGAAACAGATAAACTTGATAAAGCAGCGAATAGAAGAGATGATGTGAAATACTTGACTTGATTGCCTTTGGAAGAGAATCAAGAATCTCTTGCTGTTGCAAACCTTCTGAATCAGTTCTGTGTTTTAAACACAAGTGAGCAACCATTTGCTCTTGTAAGCGAACAGGAAGCCTATTCCTCAGTGCAAAACTGGAAGCAGCTTGAATTGTGTCCCTCTAACTCAAACAAAAACCCGAAAAACAAATGACAAGTTAGCATCAGAACAAACTACAGATAAAAAATTGACAGTCCTTAAATATTCTGTTTCTGAAATCAATTATTTTTTGCAGCATTTGTGTCCCTGTAACTCAAACAAAAACCGGAAAACAAATGACAAGTTAGCATCAGAACAAACTACAGATAAAAATTGACAGTGCCTTGAATATTCTGTTTCTGAAATCAATTATTTTTTGCAGCAATTCTCAAACAAAAACCCGAAAATGAATGACAAGTTAGCATCAGAACAAACTACAGATTAAAATTGACAGTCCTTGAATATTCTGTTTCTGCAATCAATGATTTTTTGCTGCATTTAGTTGAATTTAAGCATTTGATAGGGCAGTTAAGATAATTGCATTCAACTTTGCAACAATTTGTTTTTTAATTCATACAAAGTGTCATATTTGAACAACAAACAAAGGGAATGTTTTAAGGAAAAATATTGAAAACAGCAAAAAGGAACCAAAAACAGAAGTAATGCAAGGACTGCCATACAATACATAGTATGTGTGCTGTAATAAAGAGGAAGAACAACGAGCATACTCACGAATTTTCTAGTTCGGCTAGTCCCATGAACAACTAAGTTTGTCATATTTCCTATCAAATACGCGGTCAGTCCAAGATTGAAGAGCATATAAAAAATATCAAACACCATCTCCCACGTATTCACAGGATGCAAGTCACCATAACCAGTTGTTGTGAGTGTTGTGATTGACCAGTAGATTGATGTCACGTAACGCAACCACAGATCTGCGTTGTGGAAGTTGTCCATTTCAAGACCAATCCATGTTTTTTTGGGGTCAGGATAATGGGCTGCAATGTAATAATAGAAGCAGGCAGCACAATGAACCGCGAAAAGAGTTACCTATAAGGACACATACAGCAGTAAGCTAAATGAGAAAATTCCCGGTACTAGAGAATTCTTCTCCTAACAAGAATCAATGTAGAGTTTCTGAAATGTACTCACAGAAACTAACTTCAAACATCGAATCCAAAAATAGTTATAATTTTTATCCTTCTCTAATCTGTCAAAAAATGAAGCAAAAATGTTTCAAATTTTCTAACACATTCACATGTTCACCATCATATATATTGTCAAATAAAGCATTAGTTTCCGCTTTATAACAAGGCTAAGAAGATTACTTGGAGAACATCTTACTAACTCTGCGAAGCCTCCAAAGGCGTAGCATGTTGAATAGTCCATAGGCCTGGACACTGTCAGGGAGAATCTTCTCCACAACTTCAGAAGGGACTGTTGACACGAAATCAAACACGAACCAGGATTTCACATATCTCCAAGCAATCATCTTATGATCATCAACAAGGTTGAAAGTTTGTGGATCTTGATATGCAACAAAAAAGGTCAAAATAATATCAATAGCAAAAAATCCATTCACAATGTTATCTGCAATAGCAAGGCCTTCAATTGGTCTTTGTAGGAATCCGAATTCGTATGGAGACACCCATGATGTATACACCACCAAACATACCAGAAATGACTCCCAAATTCTGCATAAAAATATAATTCAAAAAAAAAAATTAGTCCAATAATATGCAAACTCAATAAACTAGTACATAAAAATTGTAAGAATCTAATTAGAATTAACATTATTATAGTATTAATCATGAACACAACATTAAAACCCTATAATAAAAATGATCAAATTAGATCAAACAAAAGATTTACAAATCAAGATAACAAGAAACCATTATGAATACCCAATATTTCAACATTCTAAGATTTTTCCTTTTTTTTTTTTTCTACATACCCAATAAATCAAACAAAAACCCAATCATCATAGCAAAAAAAAATGATATTAACACCAATAAAATGAGGTCAGCTACATGAACCAAGAATTTATCTCGTGTCAACTCGTTTACAAACATTCTATTACACCATAAGGATCAATCATTCAAACATGTCAATCTCCATGCAATCAAAACAAAAACATAAACAAAAACAAAAAAAATTCCCAAGAACAAAAAAGAACACCACCATACCTATATTCGTGAAGAAAAGGGGAGACAATGTAGGATCGAAGTGCAATACGACGGTGGCTTCGAGCACCAAGCGAAGGAAGAACACCATTAGAGAAACTATATGTGCTACTTCCATCAATGGAGGTTAACTCAACACTTTCATCTATGCCTTTCTTTTCTCTTCCTTCACCCCCACATATAAATGTTGAACTTAACCAATTTTTCATCATTTTTTTTTTCTTGTAATAATTTTCTTCTCTCAAAATTTGTGATTTTATTTCTCTAATTCTCTTTCTTTTTTTTTTCTCAAACCTTAGATCCCCTGTTTCTGTTTTCCCTCCATCTTACACGCTTAGTCTCTCTTTAAGAGTCACTATTTTGTGGTAAGATCACGGGAAATAAAATCTTGGTTTATGTTACTGACTTACCAATTCTAATTTTATGGTTCGTTTGGCATTGTTGTGGTTTTCTGTTTTTTGGTTTTTTGTTCTCTAAAAGTATATGATATGAGTCCCATGATGAATAAAAAATTATATAAACTTATTAAAATTATGATAATTATGAAAACTGACAACAGAAAAGTGGAAACTCCTTTTCTTGTTTCCTGTTTTTGGTTTTTGATTTTCAAAAAAAACAGAAAACTGAAAACCAAAACTGATGCCAAACAAGCCCTTAATTTTACGATTTAAGTTTAATTTATTTGTGTATTGTTGTTACAATAATTCTCGAATTTTTCTTGGTTTATATAACTAATTAAAACCGACCCTTTATTCTTCGATTAATGATTTGAAATTGTTGATGCTATTCTCGATATTTTCTTAAGACATGATGAAAATTGGACCAAAAAATAAAAGGAGAAATTATGTGTAGTTGGAATCTCTTTTTGATTTTTTTTAAAGGGTGGACGATGATTTCCGTGAGTCTATTCTAATTCTATATGTATGTGATGATTCTTGCTTGTTTGATTTTGATGGTTGTGATATTTTTGGTTATTTGTTAATTTAATGTTATCACCTGATATTAGTGATTTGTTAGCTACTACGTACGAATTTTGTAAAGTTGGCCAATGATTATGGCAAAAAGTAAGGGTACACGGGTGATCAATGATCAAAAGCAATGGGAAAGTTACCAATTTAGTGTTTTGGTGCTTTGGAAAGAAATGAGTTATGCCATTCTAACGCAAAGGCACTATACTATTTTGGTGAGCCGTGAGGTCCGCTTGACCGTGCCAACTCTAAATTTCATGTTTGGATTTTGGTTCACCTCGTTATTATGAAAATAATTCACATACAATGATACAAATTTGAACCAATTATCTTTTATATAAAAGAAAAAAAAATTTAAGGATATAATTGTCCAAACACTAATCATACACAGATATTTCAAACTTTTTAAAAGGCGGAAATTAATTTTTATGCTTCAATCAGTCAATTTACATATCGAGTGCATTATATTGAAAGTTTGTAACCAATAATAAGTAAGAAGGAATAATATAGCTTTGAGACAAAGTTGGAAAACTTTTTATTTGGCTTGTTGGACAAAAAAAAAGTTGATCTTTTTTAGATAAAGTTTGAACGACTTTTGAAACATTGGGGTATGGCCAACTCACAAAAACTATCACTAAACTGAGCATATAACATAAGACTAGAGGTGGTATGCACTATGCACGACAACAAATATCAATCGTCCAACTTCAACATCTGCCACTTGTTAATTGTCCATTGTCTTAACGAACAACTATCTGAATTTGACCTCACTCGGTTATATGGGTGTTCAACAGCCAATTATTTAATAGAACATAAAAGAGCAGAATGAGTGATCTTGTGATGATAAAACGGTTTTATTTTAAAATTTACTTCATATTTATTGGTAAGATAACATGTAAATTAGTAATTTGACTATGGGCATGTATGTAGTCACCTAGGCAATAAAGATGATGCAAGGGGAGGCTAAAAAACCCTACATTTTCAAGTAGCTTTGGTTTTGTGAAAACAAAGATTTCAACCATGTTAGTAGATGCAAGATGCTCCACAAATAACCCTACATTTAAGTATGTACCAAATATTTACATCACATACGTTCCGTTCAAAAAAAAATTACATCACATAACAGAAACTCAAATGTCCTAAATCCATATTCAACTATTATCTTAATTTTAGGATATAGATCATTACTAACTTAAACAAATGTTAAGAAAACATCTCATCTTTTTACATTTTGAAAAGTAATTATATTGTCTTAGCTAAGGGTGTCCATAATTCGGATAAAATCCGAAATCCAATCCAATCCAAACCGAATTATCAATTCGGATCGGATCCGAACTTTAAATCGGATCGGATCGAATTGAGATTTTTTGGAAATTTGGATTTTCAGATTGGATTGGATTGACCCTAATTGGATCCAATCCAAACCGAAAACCGAATTGTAAAATTAAGCTTGTATAAATATGGATTTCTATATATTTTGAAGTTTAGCTCAAATACTTACTAATACATAAAATAAATTAGAGAGACTTTGTATTAATTAATTAATGACTTGACGTTGAACTATTTATTTTAATCATGATTTTGAAGACTTTTATTTATAGTAAAGGTTTATTTTTATAATTGTATTAGGCACTAAAAAATAATTTATTATAATTCGGATTTTCGGATCGGATCCAAATAACCGAATTTTAATTCGGATTGGATCAAGAGAGAAATTCGGATCGGATCGGATTGAAAATTGAAAACCGAATTATGTTTCAGATTGGATCGGATTTGGACTAAATCCAAACGAAAACCGAACGGACACCCCTAGTCTTAGCAAACTAAAGTTGGAAACCTTTAAATGCATGTGACTTTAGTGAGTTTGTAATAGTGGTTTAAGACTAAGTAAAGTTGGGATGCTCTTAAAATCTTAAATATTATTCTCTCTTTGACTAGAAGAAGGAATATGTTGGGGCATTCTAAAAGAAGAAGAAATATGTTGGGCCAGAAATTACCCTAAAGTCACAAAATAATAGATGCAAACCATGAGGCCATAATATTTAATAACAACATGGAACCTATTGACAATGGTTTTTTTTTTTTAATATCTTATTACTCTATAAAAGTATTTTATGTTTTAACTATTTTGTAATACAATAATTGCCCAAACATGAATAACTTAGGGTCTGTTCTCTTCAAATTATTTTCAGTTCAATTCTAATAAGTTCAATTCAATTCGTTCATTTCAGTTCTAAATTTCCTTCTCTCATAAAATATTAAGTTCAATTCAGCTCTAATAAGTTCAATTCAATTCAATTCAGTTCAGTCAATCAGAACAGACCCTTATAGAGGTAAAAGAGAATACACATTCGTGCCTACATTATAAAGACTTATTATGGTAGCCATTACGGAATACTTCATTATTTAAACTTATTTTTACTAAAATAAATACAAGTAAAAAATAAGGTAAACAAATTTAAGCCTATATAAAAATTGATTATTTTCCGTATAATTATAAGACCGTCTCATACAGGATTTTCAATTCATAGTTTTCATCCCTTATTTCCTAGGGCTTTACCTTGTACCATCATATGGACCAAGCCCAACCAATGCAACAACAACAAAACACAAAAAGGGCCGTATTAAACTTAGCCAGAAAAATCCGATAATTTCCAGAAACTCCTGTCAAATTAGGGAAGAACATCGAAAATCCCTCATTTTTAGAGAGAGAAAGAGAGGTAATTAGCTTAGCAAACCTACAAAAATGGCGATTGCTACTGGTTCATCTTCATTGTTGAAGGCTCTTCTCAATCCTAAGAAGAATGTATTGGCTGCTATGCACAAGATTTCCGTCGACCACCGTCTTCGCAAATATGGTTTGATTTTTTTTTTCTCTCTCCTCTTTTTTTTTGGCTGATTTTGACCTAATTTTTGTGATTGATTTTGTGTTTTTTTGATTTGATTGATTTTAGGCTTGAGATTTGATGATTGTTATGATCCAATGGAAGATCATGATATCAAAGAAGCCCTAGATCGGCTTCCTCGTGAGATTGTTGATGCTCGTAATCAGCGTCTTTTGCGTGCTATGGACCTTTCGATGAAGCACGAGTACCTTCCTGAAGATCTTCAGGTTTTTTCTCTTGCTTTTTTGATAAGCTGATTTGTATTTTGTGATTTTTGGCTTCAAATGCGTTTTGATTTAGGGTTATAGCTTTGATTATTGCGGAAACAAGTATATATTGGATTAGTAATTACTTCTATTGACGGTTTTATGGATTAGTGAATTGCATTGTTGGATAATTCTGTAGATTGTGAAGTTGATTTTGCAAATGAAACGATTTTGTTGTTATAGAATGAGAAACATGAATCAATGTTTGCTTGAAATGCTTTGTAGGTTATTATACACTGATGGAAGTATATAGTGATAATTACATTTAAACTTAATTATTGTTATAATTTACTTGCTAGTTGCTACTTGTGTTTCATTTGGAAGACATTTCTGAAAAATAGTGAATAGTTTGTTAATGAAAATGTGGAAATGGATAAAGCAACATTTTTTGGGGGGTTCTAGACCTCACCGATTGATTGATACTGAATAATCATTCTGCTTGTATGTGAGCTGATTATACTTTGTCTGTTAAAGTGTCCAACAAACAACTAAAAAGTTAGAATTTCCAATGGCTTCAATTGGTTGTTGATAGGAACAGGAACTATAGTTTGTATTTTGGACATAAAATTGTAGGTCCCTCTTAGTTCATAATTATTACTGCCTATTGATTCTTAAAGGATATATTCTGGCTGTTGTATCAAGAACTTATTTTGCAAGTTGGAATGCGGTATTTAGGATATGCTAACCATCTAAGACCCCTTGGTGACTGCGTGGGAGGATTAGAAGTTGAGAGCTTTGGTGAAATTGGGAGAGATGGGGATAGAACTCATAAGAGGTTAAAGCTCAAGTATGCTAATAATTTATGTACGCTTGTCGTTGGATTTGGAAATTCTGATATAGTTATGGCCTTGTGGCGTTCTTTATGGAATGAAGGGAGTAGTTGATAATGAACTTGATTGACCAATGAGTCGATAAAAAAAAAAATGTAAGCTGTCATTTTATACCTTCTTTAAACTTAATTTCTTGAGATAAATGAGGAATTGTGTTTCTCCTTAATCAGTAGTATATCTATGTTGGATGAATAAGATTCATGAGTCACGTCTAAGGTGTTGACACCTAGGCTGAATGTTACGTACTGAGATTAAGTTATTCCATTGTTGGTTATTTTGGAGTCTTTCAGCAATTTGGTAAGTAAGACAGTTAGACAACTATTTATAGTTAAATAGATGGTTTCCAAGTTGGAAAATTCCTCACTCGGATCATTTATTGTTTCTGACATGCTCATTTTGGGTTGGTGCTTTTATCATCTCCAAGCCAATGAGAATAATTAGCGCTTCTTTCTGTGTTCTCGCTTACCTAATGATGAGTGGTTTGAGGATTAATTTTGGATAGTGTATATTTGAGTTGGCGATGTCAAATTGGCAGACTGGTTGTGGAAATTTTTTTTTTTATCTGAGATTACCTCTCCACACTTTGTACTTGGGATCTTCCATGCAATTTTCCTTTTACAACAAAGGTTTTGGTGGGTACCTGTAATTTGTAATTTTTGGCGAAGGCTGGCAAGATTCTTAAAGAGATAGGTGACTTTGTTGAAGTGCATTGTATTATTTGTATACAACCTCCTGTGTTATCTATGTTTAGAATACATCCCTATTAGTCTTGTAAATAAGATGGAAAAGAGTGAGGGATTTATCTTGGGAAACAATGTGCTTGATGAGGGGGTTTCATTTGGTGATTATCCTTACACTTGGCATAAGGGCTATATCTCTTATAGTGAAGCTCTCAAACGGTAATTTGTTTTGAAGATTTGCTGATGATGATTGTGCTCTTTGACAAAAAGTCATTGAGGCCGAACTTGATATCATAGGAGGTGGAATTGAAGGAGGACACTCACACTCTCATGGTGGTGTTGTCTGGAGCATTTAAAATATTTGGGGAAGTTGGATTGTTATAGTGGTTTATTGGTGTGCTTTTGGCATAGTGCTTGTGGTGAATGACACTTAATTTTCCTTTCCCTAACCTTCTGAAGGGTGTCATCGCTTAAATCAAGTTTCAATGGGTGAGGGTTGTTTCGTGTTGTGGCACCCAAATAGATCTCCTCAATTTCTGAAAATGTAAATTTTGCCTATATGTTGGTCTATGTCGAAGAAATTGTATCGGAATTTTTTTTCTATAGAGAATAGGATAGGAAGAGGAAATTTAAGATAAAAAAAGATGCTGCATACATGTAAGCTGATATCTTTAGCTATATGGTGGTGTATTTGGAAGAAAATGATCAGTGGGTTTTTGAGAGAATAGGTGTGAGTTCATTACATGAGAATCTTTCAAGTTAAGGTGAAGTGGTTCAATATTAATATAATATGTCACTCAATGATTCAATGGTAGAATTTGTGTTATTATGTAGATTGATGCTTGAATATTTGTGTATAGGTTTGGTCTGTGAGGTTATTTAAAGTGATTCTTTCATCCTATTCCTCCATCAATTTGACATTCCTTGGTGTCTTGAATATATATATTTTTTAAAATACTTTTTTCTTCAGTCTATAGTCCTAGAGATTATTAGTCAAATACTTGTCTTCTTTAATAGATTTGTGTGATGTGCTTCATTTTAGTATCTTCACAACATTGCATTATGAATATTATGAGTAGAAACATAGCTGGTATTGTGAAGGTAACCATCAGGATGTAAGATCATTCTACAAGTTAGTCTTTGGAGATAATTGCCCTTTAATTTTGATTGCTGTTTAAATAGAGTTAGGTTCATTTCCATAATGTAGTTTTTTTTGCTCTCATTTAAAACTTGCAAAAACTTAACATATATAGATGCATTTATATTAGCAGGTTGTCATACATGTTCCAAACATTGTCATATAACTCTTTAACTAGAGCCTAGAGGACCTCCATAATGGAAAAAATTACAGTGGGGGTGGGGGTGTTGGACATTATGGTTTTGGCCATGAGAAGAAAAACCATAGGAGATAGAGTTGTGATGAATGTTTAATTTGAAAGATAAACTGCTCCTCTTAAGACTTTGAATTGCTGTGGAAGGCATCTGATAATTATTTATTTGGAGGGGAGGGGTAAATTGTAGCTTCTTAGAATATTAGTTCGGTGCTTTATCACTGCTTCTTGTGACTTGGACCTAGGAAGTCCATGCAATATTTCTTGTTCGTTCCAAATTCTATCAAGGCAATATCTTTCAGGTATTAGGACTCTACTCAGGATTATATGTGAATGAGTGAAGACGGAATATTTATGCTGGTTTATGAGCAACCTAAAGTTAATTTTTGGTTATCATAATGTTCTTTTTCACGGAGTATCTGTTATAAACTGACATAACTTGACAGATTTTGTGAGGTGATATAATGTGGTACAATGGTGATCATGATTGTTAAACCGGAAATGTGTATAAGTAATCAATAAACACAAGCAATTGAGAGGCTTGAACTTTCCCGGCAAAATAAAACTTATAGAGAACTCTCATCAACTTTCATCTAGTGATCTCTCTCTTAATCTTCTGTTATTTATAGTGCAAACTCACTGCTCGTTTTCTCTCCAATCCAATCCTAACAAACTCAATATGCACTACCTTTAAAACCCCTCCCCTTTGATCGGTTCATTGCAGTGTTTGAGTTTTTAGCTGGGCCTTGTGATAGAACTTTGCTAATGTTTGCAACATTTAAACTTATTGATGTTTTTGGAAATTTTTAATCTTCTTATAATCCTGAATTTGGTGTTCGGAATTGCTAGCTGGGCATAGTAATAATTTTCTGTATAAGTGTGCATCTCTTTCTTTGTGTCAGATTCCTGAGTAAAATATATTTTTGGGCTTCATTTGATCTTATAACATTTGTGTGCTTTGCAGGCAATGCAAACACCCTTCAGGAGCTACCTTCAAGATATGTTGGCTCTTGTAAGTATTTTTTATTTTTTATTTTTAATTTTCACATTATTGCCATGTTATTTGGGTTAAATAGATTATTAGATGTTTGCTTTCCCTTTGTTATGATGTATTGTTATGTATTAAACCTGCCAGTGGGGATCCCAATCTCTCAAGTACATGATGATGTTGAGTGAACATAGGTTGACGAAGGTTGTTTTACCTAATGTTGATGACAAGTCTCACAAATAAATGTTAAAATGTGATTGGGATTCTTGCCACCACTTGAATTTGTTTTATGGCAAGAAGGTTTTACAGGGATGTGCATGTGTGATAAGTTTGAGTAATACATGCAATTTAGAGCCGAAATGATGGAGGTATATTAGTACTTAGCAAGTTTGTAGGTTGAATGGACTTAAGTCAGGTGCTCTGATAGCCAAATGGCATTAGATGTGTTCGATGCTTGTGATTGGGAACTGGTACAATATATACAAATACTTGGATTGCATCTACCTTTCCTTTTCTTCATCTTCATCTCTAGTTAAATGCTTTCTAAATGTTTCTGTATCTTCAATTGTGGTAATTGCTCATCCGTTGGCTGTTAAATGTTGATGCAAGAATGAAATTATCCATTTATTTTCATTAGATCAAAATTTTCATTTTCAAACTTACTACTCTAGTTAAACTTTGGCAATCCACGGGGTGCGACAATAAGGAGACTAGAACATTGTCTTTTCCTTTGCTGTATACTTTCTGGCATAAGAAGTTGTTTGACAGTGTTGTTGCTGGTGGTTGCAGGTGAAGCGTGAGAGAGAAGAACGTGAAGCTTTGGGAGCTTTGCCTCTGTACCAGCGATCAATTCCGTAAGCATGTCACTGCCTGTTGCAGCTGTGGCTGACTTTTGAACTGTATTTCATATGGTGTTTTTGAGGGTAATATGTTTTTTTCTAAAAAAAAGGGCATTCAGTGTTTCAATGAGAGACTTTTGCCTGTTTCTCTCCTTGTGAACAATTCATCTTGCTTTAAAACTTGCTCATTTAGAAGGCATTATTTCGGATTAAATGAATACTTCAAATGCTAAATAATATACAGAGTACTGAAATCATGCTTCAAAACTTGGGAGTTCAGTCTATGTTGAGTTTATTTTGACATTCTCATTTATGAACCTCATCATCAAAGCTAGTATGCTGCCTTTTATAGTATGATGTGCTGATGTTTTTTTGTTGCTATTTTCCCGCTTCTTATGTGCCCTTCACAATAATAAATATGGAAATACGGGTGACTGTAGTTAAAATTCCAATCTATTCTGAATCGAATATTTGTATCTAGAACTTCAGTTAAAACCTGTTCTAAAGTGGATCTGGAATACATGGTTTACATAAAGTGCTAATAGCAATGTGAAGGGAAGATAATTACCTTAAGGAGCTCATGTGATGAGTTACAACTTACAAGAGAAAAAAAGAGACCTAAACTTGCAACAAAACATTGTGAATTGGGCGAAAGATGCTTAATTCTAACTAGAGTGCATAATTTCTCTTAAAAAAACAAACTGATTGTTGGAAGCAGAATTGGGTGGCGTGCGATCCAAACTTACCATTGCTGATTTGCTGTATTGTGTTGTGATCTCGTTGGTTTAATCTGTTCATACTCTCTTGTCAAAGATCTCTGAAATAATAGTTTTACTCTATAAACATAATCAACACCGATAATATGATAGACTTTGTGTTGATATTGTAAAAACATCATCTATGAGGTTCAACAAAAGAGATGCATTTGTCAATGTAGTGACAAATCTAAAATAACTCAAGGGATAGACTATTCATAATTTGGCAACAAAAAAAATAAACTAAACAATTAAATTTATCAAATAACGTATAAATGTGACCAATCAATTTCAAAAAACTAAACGATTTGGGGAATGGGTTTCGAGTTTTGTTGTCATGTCCCTCGCTGCCTATGTCACTATTTTTAAAAAAAAAAATTATTTTAATTGGTTAGATTTACAACCCTAACTTCATGTTACTCAACAAACTTCATGTGAATATCTTTATTCAACAAATTTCATGTTACTCGCAAAAAAAATTGTAAAATGAAACATACGAGTATAAGAAAGTGAGCCTGTGTGCCCATTTTTCTTACTTTCCATCCTCTTCTCTCAACTTTCTCTCTCTCTCTTCTCAATCTAAATTATTTTACATTTCTGTAATAAATATGCTTTTTTCTTCAATAATTATCTGAAAGCCATTAACAATTTGTTCAAACTTCACTTCCTTTTTCGGCAACATTACAGTATAGTACTCCTTCCGATCCTTTTTGTTCTTTAAACCCAAGTAATAAAATGGGAGAATCAAAAGACACCCACGTAGTAGAAATCCCAGTAAACCAAGATCAAAACCTGAAAACAGCAATCATGATTCAACAATACCCAATGAATGGAAATCTCAAAAAGTCCAGGCCATATACTCCATCTTAAACTCTGGCAAAGAGAATAACACCTCTTCGCCCGTCGAATCAACGTTAACAATCCAATTTAGAAGTTAACATATGAAGCAAGGTGGTTTTCCCGGCATTATTTAAACCTAAGAAGAAGATCTTTGCTTCTTTCGGCCATAATCCAAGTAACGCAAGAACATTGTTTTCCGAGGCTGAAATAAGGAAACCAAGAACAAACCTTGGGATTTCAGAAGTAATTGAAGAAATCAAACAACAATCCAATTAGACCAATTTTTAATACTACCTCCGTTTTTTATTATGTGCAACAAAGGGTATTATTTGTGAGACATAAAATATTTTTTTGTTGCACATAATAGTTAGGGTTAGGTCTACAAACCTTAAGAATTGAGCATGATCAACAACAGCTTCAAGATGGCTAAGATTAAAAAAAATATAAGAGAGAAAGTGAAGGAGAAGTAAGAGATAACCGTAGATAAGCTACAGTAGCACTATTGCTTCTGATTTGGGTAATTTGTTAGAGTGCTTCAATTGGGTTTTGCTGTGAGGGTAATTATTCATCAATTGCATTTGGGTTATTCAATCTGGAATATTGCTCTTTGATAATTACTAAGTATAGTACGCCGACGAAAATCAGATCAAAACACGGACGACGACCCCAACAGCCAATCTAAACAACCGAAACCCAATTTTTCAATTTTCAAGTGATCAAAGAAATAATACCGGATGTGATCTGCATACGATTTCAAGCAGCAAGAAGGCTTGAGATTGAAGTTCCGATAAGTAATACGGAGTACAATGGTGAATAACAGTTAAATTCAATGAAGTTCACTGATTGCGAAGACAATAACGGGTAGGACCACTATGGTTAAAGGGCTTTTGCTCTAACGTTGTTCTGTGGTAGTAACTTTGCAAAATTGTCTGTCATGAGCTATTTACGTAAATAAGCCCGGTTTATCTAGGAGATGAACTGGGGCCTGCTCTTTTTATTAATGGTTGTAGATTAAGGATTGTAGATAAGGTTTGTAGATAAGGGAAAGTAAAGTTATAATGTCCTTATTTTGCTACTGAACTGCTAATATTTCTCCTACTCCTAATTTATCAGTAAATCAATCAGTGAGGTTTGAGTGAAAATGGCAATCGGTGAGATATTTCTCTCAGCGTTTATTCAGGTACTCTTTGAGAAGCTGGCTAACCTGGCTTCTGCTGGGATAAGCCCTTATCTGAAAAAAACGAAGCAAAGACAACACAAAAGCATCGGAAGATGGCAGCAAGATCTGAGATTGATAGAAGCAGTGCTAAGTGATGCTGAGCAACAACAACTCCACAGCAATGCTGTGAAAGTTTGGCTTCAGGATCTCCAAGACTTGGCCTTCGACTTGGAAGACGTCTTAGATGAGTTTGTAACTGAAGCTCGAATTCACGAGTTGGGGAATGATGCTTTACAGGAACATGACTCGAGATTTGGTTGTTCACCCTTCTGTAAGGTACCTTGTACAATCCACATCTTTTTCTATCTCAGTATGATGTACACAATTACTTGTCTAGTTAATATTGGAAAAAAATTCAGAGCTCAAAGTCGCAACTAACAGATCTTGAACAAATATGCAAAATTTAATACTTCCGTGTCTTGTTTTCGTTGGTACTAAATCCTCCTGTATAAATGCAAAACATATTTGATTTACAGAATATATGTAACTAGATTGTTTAGATAATGACCGAGCCATGCTTGGGTTTTAAAACTAATACGAAGTACTCCCTCCGTCCCTAAATTACATTCCTTTTTCTCTCTATTATGTGAGGAATTAATGCTAGAAAGAGGAATGTAATTTAAGGACGGAGGGAGTAGTAATTGATTATTTTAAATACATAAATGTAAATCAATTTATAAATCCATAAATTAATAAATAAATGTAGATTAATTTATATCAAGTGGGTAGAAAAATGTGCATAACAATAAATAGTTAGATAAAAATGCTCTTAGGAAAATTGATAATTATGTAAAGATCTTTAAAAAAGATGATAAAGCAGAGTAATATTCTGCTTAGTATAAAGTAATACGTAGTAGATTAACTACACAATAATCATGTACTTTTTTTTTTTTTTTTTTTGAACAAACACAATAATAATCATATACTCTATTACCTTAATTAACTTTTTGGCGGAACTAATTTCCTATGTCAGGTTCAGGTACCAAGCTTTCTAGCCAGTTCTTCTAAAGCTTCAAAATTAAAGAGTGCAAATTATTCAGATACCATTGAACAGATTAGCAGCCGCTTGCAAGATATTCTGACCCAGTCAGGAAGTTTAGGTCTCTCACCCCAGACACAGTCGAGAGAAGAGCAGCGAGGGCAGATATCAACAGACTCAACATCTTTAGTACGCGAGCCACAAGTGTATGGAAGAGGTGATGAGAAAGATGAGATAATCCGGCGGTTATTAGAGGATGACCCATGTTGGGAGAACTACGTTGTAGTTCCTGTTGTCGGAAAAGGAGGCATTGGAAAGACCACCCTTGCTCAATGTGTTTACAATGATGAGCAGGTTAAGAATCACTTCAATTTTAAAGCATGGGTGTGCGTATCAGATGTGTTTGACGTCAAACAGATAACCACAACAATAATCAATTCAGATAGTTCTACTACACATAATTTCATTGATCTTAACGAGGCACATGTAAAGTTGAAGAATCTGCTAGCAGATAAAAGATTCTTGATTGTTCTTGATGATGTTTGGAGTGATGAATATGATCCTTGGGACAAACTTCAGATCCCATTTCAAACAGCGGCAAAGGGAAGCAGAGTCTTAGTCACAACAAGATTAGAGAGGGTAGCAAAGAACATGCTTAAAAGACCAACTCAAAGCCCAATCATTTACTTAAAGGGTCTGTCAGACGATGATTGTTGGCTTCTGTTTCAGCAGCATGCACTTGTAGATGACAACCTGATTGAGATGCGGGATGAAGTTGTGAAGTTGTTCAAAGGATTGCCTTTGGCTGCTAAAGCTCTAGGAGGTCTTCTAAGAAAAGAAGATAAGAGCAAGTGGTCAAAGATATTACAGAGCAACGTATGGAGTGAGGAAAGTGGTGTTTTGCCATCTCTAAGGTTGAGTTATCATCATCTCCCGCAGCATTTAAAACGTATTTTGCTTATTGCTCGATATTTCCTAAAGATCATACATACATAGAGAAGGATATTGTTTTGATGTGGATGGCTGAAGGTTTTCTGCATGAGGATGCGGAGGAAAGCATGGAGGACAAAGGTCATAGTTATTTCCTTGATTTGGTACAAAGATCATTAATGGAACCAATTCCATATTTTAACGGAGAGTGGTTCATTATGCATGACCTCATCCATGACTTGGCTCAATGGGCTGTAGGTGATGTTGGCTCTACAATGGATATCAAAAATATTTGTTCTAGAACTCGTTATTTTTCCTTCACTAAAGAAGTCATAAAAGACCAACCCTGGACTCAAGAGAAAATTGGTCAATTGCGAACATTTGCTTATTTTGGCAGTCAGGTTCCTACAATACATTTGTCAGATTCCAGCTTCCAAAGATTTCATTACTTACGCTTGCTGTCTATGGCTCACATGGGGATCACAGAGTTGCCAAATTGTATTGGTGATCTGAAGCTCTTACGATTTCTTGACCTCTCATTTAATCCTGAACTGAAGGAGTTACCAGAATCAACCAGCAAACTTTGCAATCTCCAGACACTGCTATTGAGAGGCTGTAAATCTCTCAGGAAGTTAGTCACTAACATGGCACACCTAACTGATCTTCGTCACCTGTACATTGATGAAGGTAGTGCTTTGATGGAAATTCCCCTGGGGATTGGGAGATTAACAAACCTGCGGACGTTGAAAAGATTCTTCTTGACACCAACGTCTGGGTTCAGGATCAGTGAGTTGAAGAACTTGAAAAGTCTCAGTGGCTCACTGGATATCTTTGGCCTCCGAAATGTGGTCAGGAGTAAAGATGCAGAAGAAGCCAAGCTGTATGAAAAATCGAGCCTTGAAGTGTTGAGATTGTTTTGGGGAACTTCTACTTGTGCAGTTGGTCAGAACATTGAAAGAGACGTACTTGACCAATTGCAACCTCAGAAATCCATCAAAGAATTACAGTTGAAAGGGTACAAGGGCTTGGCGTTTCCTACTTGGTTGAGGAATCCCTCTTTCCCTCAGATGGTTGACATACGATTGGAGGACTGTAATATATGTGACTGCTTACCACCACTAGGGAGTCTTCCGTCATTGAAGGAGCTTTTGGTAAAAGGGATGGATGGCGTTAAAACTGTAGGTCCTGAATTTTATGGTATTGGTTGTTCAAATCCATTTCCTGCATTAAAAACTTTACATTTTGTTCATATGGAGTCTTGGGAGGAGTGGTCGCATCCATCAATTGACAATAGCAAGGCATTTCCCCATCTTGCAAACCTTAAAATATTACAGTGTCCATTGTTGCAGGGTAATTTTCCTTCCTGTCTTCCATCTCTAAAAATACTGAATGTTATTCGCTGCCATAAGCTAAGAATCTCACTTCCAAGCTTGCCTTTGCTCCAGAAATTGGAGATAGATGGATGTGAAGAGTTATCTAGTAGTGAAAATGTCGTATGCTGTGCAAACAGGATAGCGCTCACAAGTGTTTCACGATTTACAGGGATTCAGGGCTTTTGGGTACCAGGAATTAACCGTCTTCAGGTTTATAACTCCGGTGACAAATGGTACAGGTTTCAAGATAAACGCTTAAGCTTAATATTGGTGGACTGTCCAACCTTGAGTCACAATGCCTATGGGGATTTAGACAAGCTCACTTATGTCGACTTAAGAGGCTGCAAAGACCTGACTATGTTCTTGGAACATAGTTGTCCATCGAGTATAATAGAGCTTATAATCTACGATGACAACTCTTCGAAGCAGCTATCCATGTTAACCAACCGAATCACTTGTCTTCAAGTGCTTCATATTGAAAGGTGTTCATCTCTGATTACTATTGGCTGTTTGCCCCTAACACTTGTCGAACTAGTGATCAAAGATGTCAATATAGAGCAGCCAGCTGAAGAGTGGGGACTTCACCTCCTTACTTCTCTAAGATATCTTGAACTCGTGGACATGGGAAGCGGCATAGATTCAGTAGAGTCGGTCCCAGGTTCGAATTTTGTTCTCCCCTCTTGCTTGGAGGTCTTAATCATCCGCGGCTTTCCAAATTTGAAATCTTTGTCATGCCATAACCTCCCCAACCTTATTAAGGTTGACATTGAGAAATGTCCTCTGTTTAGCCAAGGAAGCATACAGTTTCCTGATAGATCAGTATATAGTAGCCATGACCCCCATCAACACTTCTACCTCGAGGATGAACTGTATACTGATAGAAAATGGTTTTTCCGGAGTAGAGTTTTAGGGAGTTAAACTTTCAGCTAAGGTTGTAGTTGTGAAAAGACATTTGGTACGAGTATGTTTTATTGGAACAAGGTCATGAAACCTTAAAACGTATCAAGATTTGGCAAATGTATGTTCACTAGCTTCAATAGTGTATGCATTTAACCTGAAATGTTTCTAAGAGAAACTCTATACCTATAATAATTGGAAAATAATATAATAAAATTAGCTTATACTCAGCATTAAGCTGTGTTTATATAGTACTTCCTCTGGTTTTTTTTTAGTTGGCACCGTTTGACTTTTACACTATTCACACAACATGCTTTGACTCGTTCTTATGGTTTATAGATACGATAAAACATATTCATGTGAAATTTTGTTTGAATCGTTTCAATGTATATTTTATTAATATTTACTTTTTATAATTTTACAATGTTGATAATTAGATATATTAATCGTTAAAAACATGCGTTGGCAAACGAGATAAGAGAAAAGTGTCAACTAAAAAAAGGGGGAAGTATAATTTAAGTACTATATTGATACGAACAAACAAAAAATTCTTGTTTATACTAATGATGAAGTATTTTGGTACAAGATGGTACTATCTAAACACAATTTATTGATTTAGTACCAAACTACCAACAAATATTGTGAGTGTGAGGGATATCTCAAGTGGTTAGAACTTCATTCTCACCCCCGCCCTTATGGCTCTCTAAACACCAAAAAAAAAAACCAACCGAGATTGTTATAGTCATTAATTCCTTGGTACTATTTGTCATTGCTCTTAATATTTCTAGACTTTGACTTTTGCACTATTATATACTCCTCTCTAATATTTACTAGTTCTTTTTTATATAAAATTATACAAAGTATATTACTCCCTTCAATCCAAATTAGTCTTATTAAGTTGGTTTAAATTAATTATAGGACATTCCCAAAAAAAAATAAAAAAAATAAATAAAAAAAAAAGAAGAAGAAGAAGAAGATTATAGCACATTCATAAATAATAATAATAATAATAATAATAATAATATTAATAATATTAATAATAATAATAATAATAAGGAAATTTTACATTAAACCACCTTTTATAACACTTTAATTGCAAGAAACCACCTTATAAAAAAATTTCGCAAAAACACACCTTAATCGTAAATTTTTTTGCAATCACACACCTTTTCCCGGAAAATACCCATTGACTTGGTTTTCAGGGGTTGACTCGACCATGAGACGCCCTAAAACCGCTAACCCTCCCTTTTCCCCAGCCACCCACTTCCAGTGGCCGGCGACCACCTCCCTCCTTCGTCGCCGACGACCTCATCCCCTCCCTTTCCCAATTCCCGTCCTTAAACCCAACCCTCAAGCCCTAAACCCAATTCTCGTACCTTCATGAAGTGCAACATCCATGGCGGTTGACGAACAACGGAGTTTGGGTCTGGGCAATAAATCGAACGACGACGCTTTAGGAGGAAGAGGAAGAGAGAGAATTTGTGGGCGGCGCTTAAGGAAAGTGGGTAGTGGTGGTGGTGGATCTTGGGTTCGGGTGGTGAGAGTGAAGGAAGTGATGGTGGTTAGGTGGAACAGGAGGAGAGAGAATTCGTGGGTTGGGGGAAAGGGAAGGGAGCAAGAACACCGTCGCTACGGTAGGGAGGTGGTCGCCTTCGCCGGCAGTAGGGTGGGGAATTTGGTTGGCCGCCGGAAAAGGGAGGGTTAGTGGTTTTAGGGTGTCACGTGCGAGGCACGTGGTCGAGTCAACCCCGGAATACAAGGTCAATGGGTATTTTCCGGGAAAAGGTGTGTGAATGCAAAAAATTTTACGATTAAGGTGTGTTTTTGCGAAAAAAAATTTATAAGGTGGTTTTTTGCAATTAAAAGGTTATAAAAGATGATTTAATGCAAAATTTTCTAATAATAATAATAATAAGAAGAAGAATAAGAATAATAATAAGAATAATAACAACAACAACTTGTTTTAGTAATTGTTTTTTTCTAACTTTTCTCCAAAGATGGTGCACACTCATTTCCTCCACCTTTATTATCTTGAAATTTGCAACAATTTGGGTTGTAGCCAATAATATGGGGCAATAGGATTAGAGCATCCACAATAGATCATAAGCTATTGTAGTTTTGGTTAATCACATTGTTAATTTAAATTAAGGCTATAAACTTCACAATAGCAAGCTGCATGTACAACCTCAATTATAACTTCTAAATATACGAGGTGCAATATACTTTAGCTTTGGTAAAGGCTCGTGATTTTTTGTTGAATCAAAACTTTAACTATAAATCTCAGGTTAAAAGGATTAGAGATGGTGATAAAAATACCACCTACTTTCAATTAAGTACATATAGCATTGGAGGAACAAAATTTCAGCAATTAATTCTCAGGTTAATGGAGAATGGTTGCATATATAGCAAGGATGAGGTCCAAGCAAACACTGGTAATTATTTTAATAACTTGTTCAACAATGAAGACGTGCAAAATTATGATGAGCTCCCAAGTGATATTTTTCGGAATTTACTTCAAGGGATTGTCTTAGTTTTTCTCCTTGACCTTTCACAAGATGTTAAATTGAATTGGTGGTTAAGAATATGGGATGGTTAAGAATATGGGAGCGGTATAAAGAGTAACTACCCATAATTTGACAAAAAAAAAATTAAAATCAATGATAAAATCATACGATTAAAAATGCGTAAATATGGCAATTTTTATTTAATAAAAAATAAAAAATAAAAAAAATGAAACATATAAGAAAGGAAGAGTGTATGTTCTTTATTTCTTTTAATTGTAGAGACAGGTGTACATGTCCCTCGCTGGCTCCGCCACTATATATTTTAAATCTGTATTTTAATTGGTAAGATTTGCGATCTTAAACTTAAAAAAAACAATGCCACAAATACCATTGTGAATATCCATTAAACAAATTTCATGTTACAGAAAAATTGATTAAAATGTATAAAATGAAACATACAAGAAAGTAAAAGCCTCTCATAATTCATGCGCATAGCGGTTACAGAGCGGGAAAAAAATATGACCGTTGTCACAACTCTCATAAAATGTGACCGTTAACAAATTCTATCCGTTATCTCCCCCATTTCAAATATCAGGTAATCTCCCCTGTTTCTCTTACTTTCCATTCTCTTCTCCCTTAAACTTTCTCTTCCTCACTCTTCTCAATCTAAATTATTTCCCATTTCTGTAATTTATTTCCTTTTTTCTTCAATAATTATCTGAAATTCATCAACAATTTGTTCCAATTCCAAATTCAGTTCCTTTTTCGGAATCTTTATTGTATAATACTCCCTCCGATCCTTTTTGTTCTTCAAACTCGAGTAATAAAATGGGAGAGTCAAATGACACCCACATAGTAGAAATCCCAGTAAACCAAGATCAAAATCTGAAAACAGCAACAATGATTCAACAACACCCAATGATGGAAATCTCGAAAAGTCCAGGCCATTTACTCCTCCTTAAACTCTGGCAAAGAGAAGAACACCTCTTCGCTCGTCGAATCGATGTTAACGAATCCAAATTAGACAATCTCCGCCGTGAGATCTTCCACCTTTGTCTCTCCTTTCTTGTATTCCATGCCTTTGTGACAACCCTCCTTTTCACCTCCTCCTGCTCAGCGTCGATCCAAGGGGCTCATTCGGGTTTAACCCGGTGTCAGAAATGGTGGGTGCCGTCCTTTCTTGGGGCGGCAACCTCGGTGGCAATAGCGGTGTTGGTTCAGGTGAAATTGTGGAGGTATTGGAAGGTGACTGAGAAGTTGAGGAGAGAAAAAACCGATAGCCGGGCGCTCGGCCGGGCGGTCCAAGAGCTGAGGATGAAAGGGGCTAGCTTTGATTTGGCTAAAGAAATGAGTTTTTGTAACATCAACTATAAGATTAAGAAAAGCTCAAGTGTTGAGATTAAATGGAAGCCTAAGATTTGGTGTTCTAATAATTTGGTTACTTTTTGCTTAGTTTTATTTGCAGGTCTTGCTTTTCCTGCTCCTAAATTGTTTCTTTGCATAATTTGATGGGGTTATTAAGAGCTAATTACAGCAATTGGTATGAAATTAATTAATTAAGAAAATATTACTGATCTTAATTTTTTCTTCATATTTTATTTTATAGATTTTGATTTTTGTTTCTTAATTTTTTATTTTGATTTTTTTTTTTCAGGGAAATGTTGGACTAACTTGGAAAAAATTGAGATTTGAGGGATGAAGCAATGTGGTCCGGTTGATTTTTTTTTTTATTTTTTATTTTTTTTTTGAAAGTAAAAAGATTGAATTTGATGTACAAACAAAGCAAGTGACCACTACTTGTGTGCTTGAGAGATTAATTTATCAATTTTTTGATTCATATAATTTGATAGAAAATAATGAGGAATATATCAATGATATTTGATTCTTAATTACATGGTGGATTTTTCTTTATTTGTAATGTTACTCTTATTTTTTGGTGGTACTCGTATGTCCAAAGTTAATTCACTCAATTTAATATGATTGTTATACATATACCATGAGTCAATTTATTAAATGACGTAGACAAACACTTAAAACTCTTTAAAACAATATATATAAATTCTTCATTACCGTTTATACGAGTACATTTTCCATAACATGGAAAAGTATGCCAACACTACATTTCATTGTTCAATCAATTTTACCTAATAAAACTATTCTTATTTATTTTATATTCAAGATTAATCAAAAACCTGTACTACCTATGAAAAAAAATTCATAAACTGTTGATAACAAAACACATTTAATGATTTGACATCAAGGGTGTACATAATTTGCTAAAACAAAACATTCTTTATTAGATGAAACTCATATAAAACTTCTTTCATCTAAAGTGTCAAAATCTTACTAAGTAACCCAACTCAAATGATTAATTGATAGATTTATGTTACATGAAGCATTAGGGTTATCATCACTAAATAATTGAGTGTATTTCTCATGAGGACCATCATTATTATTACCAGCATATGCTTGAGGTGCATTCTTAACATAGCCAGAAGGTGCTTTCTTGTCATAAGCTTGAGCTGCATAAGGGTATGCTACCATAGTGTATGGGACATATGGCCAAAACTCGGCTCGCTTTCCTGTTCTCTTCACTTTGTTTAACACCCTATTAGGCTCTACGTTTCCGGTTACTGTTACTTTGCTAAGCTTCCGGTTCACATCCACGGATTTCACTCCTATATATATATAAGCATACGCGGACATATTAGTAAATTGATATTTTGGCAATGTAAAGTATAACAAAGCTCGATCTCTAAAAGCACTTTAAATATTCGATGTCACAACTTAGAATGCACAAAGGAAATGATACAATCAATTAAGCCAACTACACTCTTCAACACGCATATTTATTATTAATAGTAAATTGGTCAAAAAGTGTACAACTCTAGTCCTTAACACGTTCATTACTATGTTTTAGGATTTATACATACTACATGCTTAAAATTAAGATATTTATAACTTTCTAATAAAAAGTCTCAAAAATTACTTTTTAATTTAGCAACTCTTTAAGACAAATTATGACAAATTTTCTGATATCTTTTGATACATGAGAGAATTAGTGTATGCAAGTGATCAAATTAGTGAAATTAGGGAATGTTTAGTGTATGTACATTTGTAGTTTTCTTACAAATATAAATTCACAAACCAAGTGGTAAATAAAATTAGAACATATTAAATGTATTTACCTTTGATATGAATAACAGAGTTTCTGACTCTTCTTTCACAACCATCGCAGTCCATTTTCACCTTGATCTCAACAGTCTGTTGTCACATAAATGGAGACTACGCTTAGTTAGTACAATTTTCGCGGTTCTCATTATATGATTCATATACAACTCTAGTCCTTAGACATCAAAATAATTACTTCAAACCAAGTAAAGAAATAAAAGAATAGAGGGACTAAACAAAAACATGAACAAGAGATCATAAAATTATGTACATTGTACAAAAAAAAAATGAGAAAGGTCACCTGCATTGGCTTACGTTTCTTATGCCTAGGGATCGAAGCATCGAAAAAGTCCAAGATATGATTCAAGAACCCCATGTCTTTCTTTCAATCTGTCGCGCTTCTCTTACTGATGTCAATGCAGATACAGAGAAAAATACAATCAGAGAACTAGCAAGTAGTTTGCAAGTTGTAATTCTGTTTTGACTTGTTTTTTGGATGTGATCTAAGTAGCAGCCTAGCATAATAACCCCTTAAAAAAGCTAATTTTTGGGTGGGCTAAAGATGGTAGAAAAAAGCAAGTTGTGGTCTCATTATAAAATCTTATGGTAGAAAGTAAAGCTAAGCAACCATGTATGGAGGGTTTGGAATAAGTTGATATCCATGGTCCCATTATAAAATCTTATGGTAAGTTGCATATATAATTCGACGTCTATTATTATAGAACACAAGTATAATTGTAGTATTTTTGACAGCTAAAATCGATAATATACATGTGTATGATTCAACTAACTAATATGCCAATGAAAATGTCAAAAAGTATTGAGAATGTTACAAAAGTTAAGTGATGTAGCCATAACAGATCAGAACAGAATCTGATGAAGAGACTAGAAAACGCTTACTTATTTTGATCTTAGTCAGAACACTCATGAGAGATCAGAATCTGAAGATTGAGACAGTCATCATCGCGATCAGCTGAAGTTAGCTTCTGTCATTCTGATCTCAAGCTGACTAATATTGATACTAGTATGTATACATGTACATGTAGTCTATATCCTCTGCTAGATTATTGTTATGTATGACTCCGATTTATTGGGTTTCGCCGAAGCTTTAAAGAACATGGCATCCTTATGATCATTGGCAGCTTTGATCATCCAAGTTAGCTATGTTTGAGTTAGTACTTGAAGCTAAGGATTAAATGAGCAAATTGCTAAATGATGCATGGAAATTTTGTTAGCTATAAATGAGAAAAGTTGTTAATAATCAATAGCATGTGTAACCAAGTTGCTAAAGATTAAATGAGCAAATTGTTAGATGAGTCAATAGCATGTGTGACCAAATTGCTAAATGATGCTGTAGGCACGAAAAATTTATATAAATGCCACATTAGATATTATATGGGTCAAAAGTCAATTTGTTGACTTAATGGTTTGACTATTTATTTAAAATTAATTATTTTGGGTGAAATAATATAAATTAGCCCATTTTAATTATTTTGATTAAATTTGTTTATTTAATTGTAAAAACCTATTTAAATGGGTTAAGCTACATAAATGAGTCAAGATTACCAAGTCAAAGGCCCAATTCCAATGTACATTTAACCCTAACCCTAGGTGTCATACACTCTATAAATAGAGCTCTCTTCATATCATTTGGGGGGAAGAGGAGGAAAAACCAAAAAGAGAAGAGAACAACCAAGAGAAGGAAAAATTGAGAGGAAAACCTAGAGAGAGAGAAAACTAGAGAGAATTAAAATATAGAGAAAACGTCTCAAATACTCTAAACCTCTTCAGAGAAAAACTCTCATCAAATACTCTAAATTTCTCCAAAAGAATCCTCTCAAAACCTAAAAGAAGAACAACAAGCATTCGACGTGTCATTCTACTCTAGAAGATAACTCATGGAAGAGATCAAGCCTCAACGGCCCTCAACACAAAGGAAAGAAGGACTTCAAATCATCAAAATCTCTATATAAAATAGTCATTGATCGAGATCAAGCCTCGTGGGCCCTCAATCAAGAATTCAAGTCAAAGATCTACATCAACAACAAGTTAAAGGTCTACATCAACAACAAGTCAAAGGTCTGCATCAAATCTTCGATCGAGTTCAAGCCTCGACGGCCCTCGTTCGAGAATCAATTCAATTCGTGAATTACGTCAAAGTCAAAGTGGAGATCGAATCAGAGGAGCAAATTAGAGATTGTACCCCAAAATTATCAGATTAATAAAATTAACACTTTGTTGCATTTATTTTGAATCCATATTTTGCAGATTTAAAATTTGTGTTTACAGATGCATGGAAATTTTGTTGTTGTAACATTAAAACCTCAAGAAAAATTAGGGTACCTAAATAAAGTTGGAACTAAAGTGATGAGATTCTGTAAAATAAGTTCAGCTAAAGGAAGGGCTTAAACTAACCAAAAGCACATATGAATGTAGTTATGTACATGTAATCAAATTCACTTGTGGTAAAATATAGAGAATTCGATTAGTTATCATGTGGGATCTGTTATTTAAACTACAATGTCATGTAGTAACTTATATTGTCTTTTAAAAGTCTTTTTTTCTATTAAGTTGGAATCCACGCTCATCTATCCATTTTTCAACTCTACTTTTTCACTTGCATAAATTAATGTGCGTATAAATGGATATAGGCAAGTGAATCTCAAAGTACTTGTGCATTGAAGCATTTATCGCATACTATACACAATTTTATGAGAACTACTGTACAAGTGTACTAGTTGATCACATGCATTAATGGTTTAATGTGGAACATTATCATGTGTTCGGCGTTAAATTGCCACAAAAACTTTTCATGATCTTTTAATGTGGATAATACTTAATAGTATTATTAGTATGCTATATTAAAATAATACTTGAAATTATCATAAATGTGAGCATGTGAGCATGTCCATATCCATCAACTAATAAATGGTCATGGAAAATTATACACACGCCTTTTATAATCTTCAAAATCCAAAGATTTACATACACCGTTGTACATAGATACGGTATAGACATACTTGTATTCATACGCGTAACAAAGCTCATATGACATGCACATTGGTTGTCCATGTAAAGACTCTAGTTTAATCTTTTTCATCGCGCATATAAATTTTGAGGTAGGAAGTTTTATCGACTGAGTCAAGTCTTGCATGCTATATGTAAATACCCATACTATAGTACATATAATATAATTATGTTTCATAAATATATATTAATTCATCATGCATGCACATTGATTGTTCCATGTACTTAGTCGATTATACATAAATTCAAGTTAAGTCAATTAGACAAGGTTAGCCCCTAAATTCAAGTTAAGTCAATTAGGTTAATTAGCCCCTGATACGTATGTTAATTATGACAAGACATGGATGCAAATCACTATAGTCATCAATCTCATTATTGCCGATATCTTCAATTATTAAAAAGAATAGTTTTTTAAATCAATCAACAATGTGTATGTTGTTGTATAGGTGCCAATTAAAGACAATGGTTAGCTTCTAATAAGGTCTAGCCGTCTAGTTGGAACTGATAGATTATTTTTTATCTTCACGTAAATCAAATCTTGGATCAAGTCACTTCAGATTAGGTCGGGATATTTTAAATTGGGTTAGTACTTGACACCTCTAAGATTATAGCGGATCCCATAAGAGCTTGAACAATTTGGAAGAATCTAAGGACTACCACAAGAGGTGGTGGTTCATCACGTTGAAGAGGTACTAATTATCACATGAAAGTGCTCCCTTAACCCCCAAATAAATGGTACGTGCTAGTTAAAGCTTGACCACCATCTACTTGATTGCTTGAATATAAAAATTTATGACACTAGACATATCAAATCAATGGTGAAATTCTCTATTAATTATCTGAAAGTAGGGTAAACCTAAATATTAATTGGAACGTCTTCTAATTCACTTTCTAACAAAATGTATTCTACCAATATAGTTCAATGAGAAATTTGGGACATTATCATCTAATGTGAGCGTAATATGATGAACTATATTATTCCTGTATCACAAACAAACAATAGAACACAATTTATCTACTCTTACTATTATCAATTGATTTTAGTATGAAACCTCATTAGTTCTTGTTTGACCGAGCACTCCTCTTTATATATATTGTCCATATTCGTTTCATATTGTCTTAATATTCGTTAAAAAAATCTAAATAAATAAATAAAAATCTTATTGTCTTAACATTTAACATGACTTTCTCCATCACAAATAAAAAATAGAACATGGGTTTACCATGGTCCATATATACTTAATTATCACTAATTCAATCATTTTAAGACAAAAGGACTTAGAAAAGGAAGAAGAACAATTACTAAGAACAATTACTAAGAGTGAGGGATAGCTCAAGTGGTTAGAGCTTCTCTCCCGATTTCAAGAGATTTTGGGATTGATTCTCACCTCTACCCTTGTGTTAACCATTGGGCCTTGATGCTTGGTAACTCACAGAGAGATTTTGGTGGGCCTTGTGTTCTATTTACTACCTCCGTTACAGAGGTAGTATAACATTTTTACAATGCTGAGTATTTTTATTTTTAAGTTGCTAGTACTTCCTCTATTTTATTCACTTCATTTTTAACTTTTTTTCTTTTATAACTACTATATGTGGAGTATAATAAAATATACAAAATAACTGTGACGCATCTTATTGGATTCATCTCAATATATACATTTTAAGAAAATATAATAATTTCAATTTTATAATTACAAATTGGTAAAAATATGAAATCTTAATGAAACAACTAAAATATGAGTGATGTAAATCTTGTTTTTCACTGATTTACTTTACAAATACTACCTATATATCAAACATTCAAAAATAAAAAAATAATTGTGTCAATTTGTCAATATTAGGCATTCTACACAATCAAGTAGCTACTAACAACAACAGTAGCACAAAATAAATACCAACTCTTTTTTTTGTTTTGTTTTTTTTTTTTTACGGAAGCCAAGCGGAAAATTATATTAAATTAAGTTCTGCCCAAAATTGGAGGTTTTAGGGAAAGGAGTTCATACAAATTCATTCCCCATACGTATTAGTATCCCACCTAGCTAAAGATGGCTCTAGGCCGTGCCGGATTGTGCCTCATGCCAGACTGCCAGGCCCATGTACTTTGGGGTTAGTTAGGCCCGGCTCATGGCTCGGCCCATGAGTTTCGTGTCGTGTTGTGTCGGGCCGAAGTTTTCTAAATGTTGGCTCATGCACTACCCAGGCCCAAGTGCCATTGTATCGGTCGTGTTGTGCTTGTGTGCCTAAGCAAAATTACATTGATTTTAGCGTGCTTTGTCATGTCGAGCCCAGCCGTGCCGTGCCTTATCGTGCTTCTCTCTAATAAAGGTGGCTCACGGCCCACACGCACAG